CCCAAGGATGACACGCATAGGTCGGCAAATCTGAAAAAAAAAAAAAAAAAAAAAAAAAAAGAGAAAAAAAGAAAGAAAAGAAAGATAGAAAGAAAAAAAGGAGAATAGTGCTTATCACCCCTTCTAGCAAGCCACGGCTGTTTCTTTTAAGAAAAGAAGAGACGAAAAAAAAAGAGGATAGTGTCGGTACCACTCGATAGGTATGTGGTACTATGCACTGTGCAGGTGAGGTGGCACACTGAGAGTGCAGACATTTCCAAACTCAGGATCTGAGGATCAGCCAAGGACAACAGTACAAGGGCAGACACGAGACGCGTGCGAGAAACTCTCTTTTTCAAAAGGCTCACACATTTCCAGCCACACATAATCCCATCCATTCACATGAAAGTAGACAAAAGAAAAACCCGCCTATGCCAGTGAGCGCGTTTGACCATCGCATCCTGTTATTTGTGCACAGCTGCAACCGCGCAAGCGAGCAGGTTCTTTTACACTTGAGAGCCCGAACCCGGGCGCCCAGCGTAAAATGTGTTGATTCGGGGTCACCGTGTCAGTTCGTTTCAGTAGGATTCCGACGAAGGAAATCAATCATGGGACTGCGAATCGGCAACTGATTCCGATGGACCACGGATCAGATATTAAACTGATCAGAACAGATACTACACTTCTTGATCTTAGCCAAAAGGCCGAGAAAGGTATTTTGTGCTTCTGAAACATGTGTAACTTGTCTATTTTTGTTTTGGTGAAACAACTGCAACTATTAACATGTCTTTAAGTAATTTGTGCTTCTAAAACACATGACATTTTTCAGGTGACATGAATTATAAGCAGTTTTTGCTCACTGTGTGCTTAAATTTACAGTTTAACTGTTTAAGTAAACAGTTAACACACAAAACAATGAAGGCTCTGAGAGACTAAGACACAATTATTTGGACCACCAGGGGGGTCACAACAGTAAATAGCGCAAGACAGAGAGAATGAAACTGACACCAAGCGGAATATGCAGCAAATTTGGAGCAAACAAAAATTTAAAACAATAATAACATTAATAAAAAGAAAGATGAACTCATAACAGACAAAAAATAATCCAAATGCGTGCCCGAAAACTCACTCCCCTATGGCCATAATGATGACTGGGGCGTTCTCAGCCGGTCGGTCATAAGGCCCAAAAGACACCAGGCAAACAAGGGGCCTGTCCTAAACAATGCCCGGGCCTCCCAGGCCCAGTACGGAAGGCCCGCTGTCCCACAATTAACTGGATGAAAGGATCACAAACACAATCCAGGCACACAAAAAGAAAGACAGAGAAATAGCTAGACAGACAATCACGTAGAAAGCATCTATTAACTTAAAGATGGATGACAATTTACAGACAGACAGACACACAGACAGACAGAAAATAGGACATAAGTTGTTGTTGCTGTCATTGCTATCGTTGCTGTCGTTGCTGTCGTTGCTGTCGTTGCTGTCGTTGCTGTCGTTGCTGTTGATGCGGTTATGAAACTGCCAGGCTTCTGCCATGATGCAGGCTAAGCCTTGGGATTCCTACTGTTATGCAGGTGTTCTATGTTGCGGCTATGTTGCGGCTATGCTGCTTCTTTGGTGCTGCTATGTTGCTGCTAGGTTGCTGCTACTATGTTCCTGTTTTCACCTATGGCATTGTTGCTGTTATGCAGCTTTTATGCTGTTGCTTCTGCTATGTGCACTGCTACCGTTGCTATGCTGCTGCTATTGCTCTGCTGCTGTGACGCAGCGGCTATGATGCTGTTAATGATGCGGTTAGTGTGCTTCAGCCACTGCTACTGTAAATGCTGTCGGTAGCTGCTGTGTTGCTAATGATGGAATATAACTCCTGTGCAGCTTCTGGATGGCAGCTGCTTCACTGCTGCTACTATGCTGATGCTTTGTTGCTGCTGCTCGTGCTATGCTTCGCCGGCTACTATACTATTGCTATGCTGCTACTGAGTTGTTGCTACTACTGCCTTGAGGCTAGGCTGGTATGTTGTTGCTGAACTGCTACATTGCAACTATATTACTGCTATGCTGTTTTCATGCTGTGGCTATGGATTTCTAGCTGTTGTGCTGCTGCTATGCTCTTGATAATGCTTCTGCTGGTATGTTGCCTCTGCTGCTATTCGCTTGCTGCTGCTGCTATCCTGCTTTGCCACTGCGTTGCTGCTGTTGCTGCTGCTGCTATCCTGCTGCTATGCTTCTCCTGCTTCTGCACCACTGCTATTCTCCTGCTACACCGGAACTGTGTTGGTGCTATGGTAGTGCTATGGTAGTGCTATGGTGGTGCTATGGTGGTGCTATGGTGGTGCTATGGTGGTGCTATGGTGGTGCTGCTCCCACGCCACCGGTATGCTCCTGCTGCTGCTGCTGCTGCACTCCTGTAAGCTGATGTAACAGTTGCAATGCGACGCAGCAGCTGCTACTGCCAGGTGTTCATGCTGCTGTGTTGTGCCTATGCTTGTTTGTTGCTGCTCCTGTTGCTCTGTTGTTCCTATGTTTCTGCTGCTTTGGCGGCGGTGGCTGATGCAGCACTGGCTCCTGCTGATGGTACTGCTGTTGCGGCCGCTGCTATGTTGATGTTATGTTGCTGCTATTCTGCCCGCTGCTTTTAACACGTTCCTCCTGTGCTGCTGCTACTGCTTCTGTGCTGGTCTGATGTTATAGTAAAGTAACTCTGGTGTTGTGCTGTCTTCACTATGATCCTGTTGCTCTGCTGCAGCGATGCTGCTAGTATGTCGCTACTATGATGTTATGCTCATGCTATCCTGCTAAACTGTCGCTATAGTGCTGCTATCGTGTTTCTATGCATTTGTGCTGCTTCTGTGAGGCTATGTTGTCACACTGCTGCCACAGTCCTGTTATGCTTTACCTACAACGCTGCTGCTATGTTGCTGTGACGCTGTCTGCACTGCTGTTGTGCTCTTGCTAGGCTGCACCTCCACAGCTGATAATGCTGATGACTATGGTGATGCTGATGATGACTATGGTGCTGATGATGACTATGGTGCTGATGATGCTGATGGTGCTGATGATGCTGATGATGCTGATGATGCTGATCATGCTGATGATGCTGATGATGCTGATGATGCTGATGATGCTGATGATGCTGATGCTGCTGCTGCTGATGATGATATGTGGGCATGCTGCTGCATTGATCATGTGTTTCTGCTACCTTACTCCAATGCGATGGTGTTATGCTGCTCCTGCTGATGCTACTAGTGCTGATTTGCACTGGTGCTACTACTGATAAGGCTCCTGTCGCGAACTGCTTTGACCATCAACCTACCTTCTGTTTCCAATCCTGCCAGTCACTGTCTTCTCCTGGACGTCTCTGCCCCTCCTTCGTTCCCCTACCTCCCCCAGCCAACATAAACTACACTGGGACAGAGACGGAGAAGCACATGGGACCTGGAGTTGCGGCGGCCAGAATGGGGTTAGTTCTCGTAGAAGCAAGTGAACTCCATCAGAATAGGGAGAGTAAGGAAGGACTGGTAGTGGTAGTATGCAATGGCCCTGCTTATACGTACTACCCCTACCGACAGGCGCAGAAATAGGGAAGGGGGGTCTTCGTCTGCATTAAACCACCACTACCTTTCACAGTCACCGTGTTGGGAAAAGTGGGAATATAGCCTATAGTAAGCCCTATAGTACCTATACCACATTCTTCGGGGACTCGGCCGAAAGCAGGCCGCCGCTGATAAATTTCATCGGTGGGGCCCGCTTTTTGTTTCCCGCCTCCGAGACTCGCGCGGGTACTGCCCCGCGGCCATCGGCTCGGACAAAGTTAGTGGTCCATTAAAAGAACTCTGTGGCAGTGGCAGTTCTGTGCTATATATGCAGTAGTGAAAGTCTTAGAGTGAACAAAGACATAACACGTTGTCTGCCCTCAGCCCTCAACCGCCGAAAAGCTAGATCATAGGTATGGAACCTGACGAACGACGAGACCTGTCTCGAGACAACTTGAAGCAACAGGCAAGGGGTTCCCAGAGGACCTCCTCATTGTCTTTAAAGGAGCTCTCTCACACTCACACTGGAGTGCTGGTCATCATATTTTGAGAGCAAAAGTTTTTGTTTTTTTTTTCTTAATGTGAAGCAGGTTCTCACAGACTTGGCCCCATACTCCATATCCATTCTGAAGATCAAAACTTTCCAGAAGAAGTTGGGACAGTAACTTCAGTAAGAGAAGATGGGAGAAAGAAGGGTGGTCCCCCCTGGATGTATCTGGTCTCAAGCGAGGTTCACATACATCCAGGGGGTCCAGCACCACAAATGGTTAACAGGTACCCCCACTTTTCACCCCTAGGGTAACCTTCACAACCCTGAAAAGTGCAGTGGGGATCATGTTTTATGGTTTTTTTTTTTTTTTTTTTGTTTTTTGCCCCGTTTTGTTTTTGGTCAAGCTTTGTATGTGCCAAGTTTGGTGTTTGTTGGGTTCCTGGAGATGGTTGTTTTGGGCAGTGGTGAAAATCATGAAAATCGATAAATTCAAATGTTGGCGAAATTTCATGAAAGTTCACTTTTGGCTTTCTGTTTTATATGTTCTTAATTATTTTTTTTCGGTTTTCTTTTTACAGTAAGCTAGTAAGAAGTGCACTCTACAAATTGGTGTGAAGTATGGTTAAAATGGCTCATTGGTTTTCTTATAAATAGGGGTGAAATTTGGGGGGTCGGTTAACCTTCTGTCGCGTCTTAAGAATGCCAGAGAAAGCACCTTTGAAGTTGGAACCACCGGCGGCTGTTGTGGAAGCAAATCATGCTGACCAGACCCAGCAAACTAAGAAGCCTGTTAATCTAAATTCATAATGGTTATTAAAATAATTAAATTAATTGATGCATCCAGCTGTGCCGGTAAATCATCGATGGTTAAATGAAAGGAGGAGGAAAGGTGCAGCCTGAGGGGTGCCGTAATATGTGGTCGTCGACAAGAAAAAGCAACGGTTACCCTCTTCCACTGCTTTCTAAACTGTAAGGAGGAGGCCAAGACATTAATATGGCAGCTTCTAGAGTGAATATTAAGGACTAAGCTAGACGCTGCTTCTAGGGAAGCTTCTAGGGAAGCTTCTAGGGAAGCTTCTAGGGAAGCTTCTAAAGTTAAAACATGGATTAACAAGGAGGCCAAGAAGAGGTCCAGCTGTGACACGGGAACACCGTGAGGTTCAGCAGGACGGCAGGAATCATTTTTGTTAGGGTGGAAGTGTACTACATAGAGCTACTTCTTCCAGAGGAGGAACAAGAAAACAAAGGGCAACTGACAGTCACTGTGGTAAATCCTCCCCAATAGGTACTAAAACTACCACGATTACAATTACTATTCTCACTGCTTAGATGGCAACCACTACTGCTACTACTACTACTACTACTACTACTACTACTACTACTACTACCACCACCACCACTAGTACCACTACCACCACTACTACTACTACTACTACTACTACTACTACTACTACCCTCACCCCTGCTCAAGTAGCCTGTGGAACTACCGTTGGTAGTTTTTGCTGGAATGGCTTCGTCGTTCAAGTTGAACTTCAACTTGTTGTGTGTCTAAGTTTAGTCTAACTGTTGACTGTAACACTGTGAGTTGTTTGCATAATATGCAGTTGCTGATCAACCTGATCCTCTCTCAGCTGTTGAGCTGCGGTGTCCGATTTGCTATAATATGAGTGCAGAACTGCTTAATATCTGTCTGCATGATAAAATTTAAACAGGCTAAGGCTTCTATCATCTTAGCAACCATAGACTTAAGAACAACACACTCACATGGCATCCCTGGCTTCAGACAGAAGCGGCGTGGGAACGTCTGCCAACGCAGCACTTTCAAATCGTTTATCAACCGACAGACTTTATCCTCATCTGTGACTGAGGGACCACTGCCATCGCAATTACTGCTCTCCCTCCCCGCCCCGCCCTTCCCCTCCCCCCCCCCCCCTATTCCTTTGTACAGCGAACAATATGAGTTCTCATCTCTTCCTCCTTTTTTTCCTTCTTCTTCTAAAGCAAGCAACTGACATGCCAAACAC